TCTCAAAATAGAGGGAGAAGGAAAGGCAGGGGGAGCAGGTAGAGAGAGAGAAGTAGGAAGGGAGGGAGTAATAGAGGAAGGGTTGGAGGGACACAGAGCAACATACTTTTTATAGAAATGTATCATGGTGACAAAGGCAGGACGTTTTCATCTTTCTAAGTGGTGTCTAGGGAAGAAGGGCAGGGGTGCTGGTAATTAACATGGCTCCTTTTTGTAGATTCTCAAGAAAATTTTGCAGAACAGTGAGTGACTGAACTTTTCTGTACTGTTCTGACGCAGTTTTAGCAGAAGGTAGAGGCAGGGTGGCTTTTCACTTTATGAACTGATGTTGCATTTACCAAATTAAAAGAAGGCAGAGAGCTTTTTCATGATTCTGCTTATTTTTTTTCTTTTTTCTTTTTAGTTCAGTCATCCTCCACAGTCATTGGACAGTTATTCTGATATTTCCTGTACTCATATAACCAAATTAACAGCTCCTAAAAACAAGACATAAGAGTTAGTGTTGTGTTTCCTAGAATGGGTAAAACATGCTTTCAATCTACTCTACTAATTATTCAACCCACTCCTAATAAGTTTTATATCCATATTTATAGCAGTTTATATATATATATATATATATATTTACAAAATATCCGTTATATTTTAGTTTGAACTTCTCCTGCAGGAAAACATCAGTAGCAGTTTTCCTTATTGGATGGAAGAGAACCTTGAGGGCTAGAGAGGCGGCTCAGCAGTCAAGTGGGCACTGCTCTTGCAGAGTACCAGAGTTCAGCCTCCTGCACACATTCTGTGAGGCTTAGAACTTGTAACTACAGCTCCCTGGGATCTGAGGTACTCTTTATGAACATGCACAGTGAACATACTCATGTACACCAACACACGTGCACATGTACACACACATACTTTAAATTAGAATAAATGTGTATATTTTAAGAAACAAAAAGAAGGCTCCTATTTAAATGCACAATTCGGCTACCGAGTAGTCCAACAAACACCGGCCAAGTTTCTCCATTTAGTCAGTTCTCTCCACGGTTTCTGTCTTCTGACTGATATATTGGATACTTTCTGTCTGCCTCCTCCTGTTATAGAACTCCTTGTCAAAATATTTCACAAATACTTAATGAAAATGGTGCTTCTCAAGTGTTGGGCAAGAGATTTGCCTTGTCTTACCATTCTCTTCATTTTCCCCTTCTCTTGTAATTGCACTGATGGAGCCTCCTCAGGCCCTTTTTCTATACTTCCCTGGATTTTTTGGCTCAAAGCCCAAACTTCTGCTCAGGACTTCTAAAAAGGACACGCAGCTGGTGACAGTGTAAGTCCAAGACACGTGGGTAGAAAAAAAGATTAAAGCCAGCAAACAAATAACTGGCTTTTAAAATGTACTGTTGTTTCTTGAATATTTTGCCATCATAGTTGACATCTTTTTGTTCATACACATACCTAGGGGTCCTGCTGTTTATTTAGACATGAGACAATTGTCTTTCAGAGAAGGAAATAAGGAACTAGAGTAACAGTCCCGGGTTTAAGCTCCTGCTCTCCCCGGATCCTGAACAGGGTCAAGCCAAAATAAGAGTTCCAAAGTCATTCTTCTGAGTTCCCTAAATTCAAGTTTCATATGTACAGGAGGCTGTTGTGAGTTGGCATATGGGAAGACAGAGCATGGTTGAGCTAGAAGTGGGGTGCACAAAGTTTGCCTGACATTTTTAAATTGTAAAATCAAGGGTACTGAGTAGCCTGGACCTTCATGATCTTTTCCCTTTGTGTTTTAGCTAATTTCATTAAGGGTTGGGCAACTTTTTTTTATTGTTTTCTCAAAAGACAGCAGCTATTTATTTCATTGTTTCTTTGTATTGTTTTTGTTTCTTAGTATTTAATTACTTTCAGACCTAAATTTGATTACTTCTTGTCATCTACTCCTTTTGTGTGTGATTTTTTTCTTCTCTTTTTTCACTAGTATTAAAAAGTCACTAGTATGAAATCACACCATTTTGTTAATGTAGGAAATTATTGCTAAGAATTTCCTCTTAGAACCATCTGTATTTTTGTCCTTTAAATTTGGATATGCTATGTATGCATTTTAATTTATTCCAGACACCTTAAGACTCAAATTTTGAAGTCAAGATAGTTTTAAAATATTTATGTTGGTTTAGCTTAATACGTCCCAGAATTAAATGTCTCTCTGCAGTCAAAAACTTCGAAGAGAGCACAATAGCATACAAAATCCAGAGTCTTTGTGTATTCTCCATCTTTTCATGGCCCGTTATGATTTTTTTATTCTATTTTTTCTTTAAGAAGCTCAGCTTAATATCCTTAAATTATTTTTTATTTATGACTCTATCTATCTTTTATTCTCTCTGTCTCAAGTTCATGCACATTTATCCAACATATTATGGCCTGTTTAGAGGCCTCTTTTGTCTGACTCTGTCTTTACTCTGTATCTCTAATCCTTTCTGCACAGGTGCACCTTTTTAAAGCTGCTAAGAAGGCATGACTAACACCACTGTTGAGGCTTGGCCTGTTGCTTCCCATCCAACAGGGCAGAGGTATGATCACTTCCTCTGCAAGGCATGCTCACTATCCCAGCTCCAGGAATGCAATGGACCTACTAATCTACTAATAGCATGCTACACACAAATCTCATTTTTGCCTTTTTAAGGTTTTTCTAGGCTTTATATTGATATACATTAACAAATGCTGGACCGTGTTTTCATTTCCTGGATACCCAGACCCACACAATCACACAACTGCATTAATAACAACACTGTAGGACTAAAGATACAGGTGAATTCCTAGCTATTTCTTACATCTTAAATTAACCCATTTGTATTAATTGACATATTGCCACGAGGATGTGTCTTACTGATAATGTTCTGGCCTCTTTCTCCTTTGGTGGCTACATGGCATCTCCTCGACTCAGCATATATGTAAAACTTACCAAGACTGACTCAGCAGGCACAGGGCCTGCAGAGATCTCCACCAGGGCCTTTGAACATTTATTACAGCTTCCATTTTAGGGTTTGTATGAGATTCCTGATAGTGAAAATGAGTGAGTCTCTGATTCTTGTGCCTTCTCTTGTGCTTTTTCCCTTTGTTGTGTTGTCTTGTCCAACTTGGAGATGATTGTTTTTTAATCTCTCTCTCTCTCTCTCTGTATCTCTCTCTCTCTCTCTCTCCATATGTACATACAATATAATGTTTTATATATATACAATAAAGATATGTTTTATATGTAGCACAAAAGTACACACATTTCTATAGTATACATATGCCTATATATATACTTTTATATAGGTAGACATCTCCTATTTTATTTATTTATTTATTATGAGTGTTCATGTATGTTCTTGTGCACTTCTGTATTTGTGTGCATATAGGGTAGAGGTCAATACCTGGTTATTTTCCTAATTACCCTTTAGTTTATTTTTGGAGGCATGGTTTCATTCAGAACTTAGACCTAACTGATTTGGCGAGACTGGCTTGTAGTGCACCTTGGGATTTTACTTTGTCAGATTCCATGTTCGCAATGCTAAAGAGAAATGCTGAAATGCTGTCTTCTTCGTCTTCTTCTTCTTCTTCTTCTTCTTCTTCTTCTTCTTCTTCTTCTTCTTCTTCTTCTTCTTCTTCT